CCCCCCCCCCCCCTCCCCGAAAACCGAGGTTGGAGTTTGTTTGTTTTGACCGGTCATTAACATACCTCTGAGAGTAGTATGTTTTGGGCGAGCTAGGTTTTTTGTGAGGAGGTCGGCAGGAATGTCATGAGTAGAAATGTACTCGGGACATACGAGCCGGCGAATGGTGTCCGCGTCGGCCCCGACTATTGTTTCCGCGTAGATGGCACCAATCATCGGCAGCTCAAACCGGCCCGCAAAGTACAGGTACAGGTCCAGCGTGTTGACCAGGGTTGCCCGTACACTGGCCGGGGTCAGCTTGGAAGCCAGCATGCCCACTGCAGCCGCGGCAATGTACTGGAACGTCTCTACATTAATAAGCTGCGCGACGTGCGCGTACGGCAGCGCGTGCAGCCGGAACAGTACCAGAATCACCTCAACCTGGTGGTACGCCATAATGTACAGGTCGTTCTGGCAGTAGTAGCGGATGCTCGACGCCACACACGCCAGGTCCACGACGTCCGCGGGCGCCGAGTCCGGGCACCCCACAAACAGCATGCACTGCGCGTAGATGGCCGCCACCTTCCAGGCCAGTGTGCGCGTGCCCGCCTCGCGGTCCAGCTGCAGAAACACACGCAGCGCGGGCGCGCAGTACGTGCTGGGTACATAGTACTGGTGCTGCACACACACGACCACAAGCTCCACAAGCGACACCGGTTGCTGCGACGTCTTGAAGTTCTCACAGCAGAACCGCAACAGTTGCGCGGGGTCCAGGTTCAATGTTGATGAGTCCCCCCGTGCACCCACCGTACTTGCAAAGAACGGTGAGTTGACGTACCGCGCCGTCAGTGTCACCAGGCTCCGCAGGTGCGGTTCGCTGTGTTCCACCTGCCGGTACATGATCTCAAACACGGGCTGTGTCACAATCCGCCAAAACGGGCTCGAGACCGTCGTACACTCGGCCACCATGAATGTGTTAAGCAGCTCCTTGACCACACACGCCGTCCCGGTGCCGTCCAGCGCCACAAAGTCCACACACCGCCGGTACAAATTTATGCGCCGCACAAAGTCCTTGTGGGTGTGTGGATCGACCAGCTGGGTGAGCTTGCACGCCATCGTCAGACTCACGTGCGTGTCGACCAGCTCGTCCCTGTCCATCAGTTCCAACAGCTTGATGGCCAGCCTCGGTTCCATTGTCGTGTACATGTCGCTTGCCGCCGCCGCCGCCGTTACGAGCCGCACCACGCACGCCCGCAGCGCGGCGCTCTGTTGCGTTTGCGCCAATGTGCGCATGAGTCCGATACATATTGCCATGATCTGGGTCAATGTGGCCGACGTTAGGACATCGACCAGATCCAGGTACAGAGCAACCTCCTCCGTGTACTCGACCGTCGTGTCGTGGAACTGCATCCGCACGTTGACATCCAGTTCTTCCAGTAGGGCCCCGAAGCGTGACATTTCAAGACAAATGACATGGGTGTACGTATATACGTGTAAAAATATACGTGTATACGTGTATACGTGTAAAAATATACGTGTATACGTGTATACGTGTAAATGTTTTTTTGCAGTGACCAACGAGGCCGTCACCACGAGTTTTATATTCGCTTTTTTCTGCGGTTCTGGCGCTTTTGATTGGTCTCTACCGTGCACTCAACATGTCGCCGTTTCGTTGGCGTGCCAGATATCGCACCCCCGTTCCACAATCTTGTTCAGCAGGCTCTGGAGACTCGCAAACATCCGGCAGCTCACGGTCTCCGTGCACGTGCCGTGGTCAAAGTGGAACCCGCAAAAGTACGCGAAAATATGGTCCAGCACACCGTTCAGTCGCACCAGTGACGGCGACACGTCCAGTATCAGCGGCAGCTCGTGCTTGTACGCCTTCTTGTAATGCATCTTGATGTACTGCACCAGCTCGGCTTCCATGTCCGTGTTCTCCGGTACTTTGCTCACCATATCCACATCCGTCATGTACACGCCGTCAAACCCCATGGTCTTGACGCGTGCATACATGGCGGCAAAGTGCGCCTCCAGCTTGCGGTGCGTCGCAAGCCGGATCCACTGCATATTGACGTTGTCGCCGTATATACTACCCAGCAACGACGGGCTCTCGTGGATCACGTAGTGCTTTGCCGCACCCGCCGATATCCGCGCGTACACATGATACCCAGACTGCTTGATAAACTGGACATGGTCGGTGTAGATATCGGCCGGGTCCACAATCACAATGTCGCCGTCCTTGTACTTGGGTGGAATCTTGGGTAGGTGGTCGCGCGTCTTGGGTGCCGTGATGAAGAAAAGCCGCACGTTGTTGGACTCGTTGACCGTCGCGCGGCAGTGGCTCGGTATACGCGTCGACATGGACGATGTATTGGTGGTCAGTGAGTGGGCGGGGGAGTGGATCGAGCTCGGGAGCTTGTATGCTGTGGAAATGTACGTGACGATATCGTCAATGTTGGTCATGATATCACCCATTGTACAGGAAATACAAAAAAAAACTACAAGTTCGGGTGGTTTTTTTTAGTTTGTGTGGATGTGTTTGAAAAATTAACCCACAAGCGTGATTTAGGGTTATTGGTCCGAAAAGCGGAATTTTATTTGGCATCCCTCCGGCGCTTGCGAGGCGGTTTTTGCGGCACGCCGCCTTCGCTTGCGAGGCGGCTCTGGTGGCGAGGCCAAGGCCAAGTCCAAGTCCAAGTCCAAGTCCAAGTCCAAGTCCGGATCGAAACGTCCCGGGAACATGGCGTGGATGCCGTATCTTTCAAACTCGGCTGGCATGTCCACGTACTGCATGTCTTCCACGCGCCGCTTGGTCTCGCGCCCGTCGTCGCCCCGCAGAGTCGCCGTGCCGCCCCGCCGACCAACCACCGTGTACACCGCCCCGCCGCCACGTAGCACTTTGACACGTGTATTCGTCTGCATGTACATGTGGTACTCAATCATAAAGTCCATCATGTACCGCGCGTACTCGACGATCGTTCGGCCGAGCACGCGGTGGTGCAGCGAGTCCAGCTTCTCCGAAACATCGCGAATACCCAGGTCCGGGAACATCAGGCGCAGGTGCACAAACAACAAAACCCACGCGCTGCAGAACCCGACATCGTCGCCGTCACAGGCCTGCGGGCCCACGCGCGGACACGTCGTGTCAATGAGCTCGTACCGCCACCACGGCAGTCTGGCCCGGGTCCACTCCTCGAGCCGCACGTCGAGCTCGGTCTGGTCGTACATTGGCACGTCCATCTCGTAGCCGTGCGGCTCGTACCGGTGAATGGTTTCGTCGCGCGTGTCCAGCACCAGCACGTTGGCGTGCGCGTCGGTGGGTGAGAACACGATCGTCAGGTACATAATGATGAACCGCGCCTCGCTCGCAAGGCATCCGAGCATTGCCCGGGTTTTAGGGTTTTTTAGAGCATTGCCCGCAGCAGATCGACGGAATCCACGATCCGCGGCGTCTTGCCGCCCGTGTTGTACACGAGCGTCACCTTGTCAATGTTGGTGCAGACCACGCCTCGTGGGACCTGCGTGGTCATCATCGCGAGCCAGTTCGCCATGGTTGTGTGGTCGCTCGTCGCATCAACCAAATAGTTCATTCTTTTTCTTTCGAATTTTTCTTTCGAATTTTTCTTTTCATTGCACGGGAAGAAAAATGTCGGCTCCGTGTTTGTACAGTAAAAAACGGTTTATTTTCAACTTTCACGCACTAATTTTCGGAAACATCTTGGTCGTCACGCCCAGTGCCGCCATGTTGTGCATCAGCAGCTTAAACACGTACGGGATCACCACACGCACCGTGCACGAGGTCCCACATATGGCACAGCTGTCTCGCTGCGAGTTGACAATGTTCCCGCACGTCGAGCAGATCACCATGGTGTACTTGTCACTGCACTCGAGTGCCTTGTCCACCAGCATCGACGATGCGCCGTGTGCCGACAGGCACGACAGCTCCATCTCCCCGAGCCGCAGCGCCCCGTTGCTCGAGCGCCCACTCAGCGGCTGCCGCGTAATGGCCTTGACCGACCCCACCGACCTAGAGTATATCTTGTCGGCCACCAAGTGCTTAAGCCGGTGGTAGAATGCCGGTGCAATGAAGATGGGCGTCTCCATCTTGAGCCCCGTCGTTCCGTCGAACATGATGCGCGTGCCCTCGTGACTGTACCCGACGGCCTTGAGCTCCTCGATCGCCTCCTCCACGTAATTGCCGCCGCACCACGCCGTTTTGTTCACCTGGCTGATGCCTCGCGATAGCGCTGCAATGCTGTGCGCACCCTCGAGAATCTGGCTCAGCGTCATACGCGACGGCAGCGCACACGGGTTCAGGATCAGGTCCGGGATCATGCCGTCCGCGCAGAACGGCATGTCCTCCTGGCTGACAATCAGTCCGATCGTGCTCTTCTGCGCCGACCGTGAGCAGAACTTGTCGCCCACCTCCGGGATCCGCAGTTCCTTGATAATGATCTTGACACACGTGTTGCCCTTCTTGGTCCGGAACGTGATTGTATCGTGTACCACGGGACTGTGGTCCTTGGTCGCAAACACGACCGACTTGTCGGTAATCACGTCGCCCACGCGCGCGTAGCGGCCCACCAGCACCGAGTCGACGTGCAGCTCTGTG